GTGTCATCTCCTACCTGCCCTGAAATCTACTCCCCTTCTCCCTGATCACAGCCTAGTCCACACCACCACCATCTCTCACCTAGACCTTTGCAACTGACCTCCCCACATCCTCTCACCCACCCTTGATCATTCTCAGCCAGGCAGTTAAGAGATCCTTTAAACTGGAAAGCTGGTCATGTTTAAAATCTCTCCTTAAAATCCTCTGGTGATGGAAGGATGAATGGATAAACAAAATGTGGTGTATACCTACAAAGAAGATTGTTCAGTCTTAAAAATGAAGACATTCTTACACATGCCAAATGAATTGAAGAACTGAAGACATTATGCTAAGTAAAGAAACCACAAACAAAAGGACAAATATTTTTATGTCATATAACATTTATATGAGTTACCTAAAACAGTCAAATTCATAGAGAGAAAGTACAATAGCAGGAAGAGGAAATGGAGAATTATTGTTTAATGGGTATAGAGTTTCAGTTTGGGAAGATTAAAAAGTTCTGGAGATGGATGGTGGTGATGGTTGCACAACAGTGTGATATATTTAATGCCACTGAACTGTACCTTTAACAACGATTAGTTTATGTCATGTATATTTTATTGCAATTTAAAAAAACCTTCAATGACTTCATCTCAGAATTCATTATATGGTCTACAAGGACCTCCAGGACCTGGCCCTTGCCTTGTGTTGGTGATTTAAGGCTGATCATCAAACCTCTTCCCCCTGGAATCTGGACCTATTAGGAAAAAAGAATGGGAATCAGATAGACAGATGAAGATAAGGGCTTTGTTACTGATAAAGTTGGGCTGGGGACAAGGCTTACATCTATAGCTACAACGGAGTTTCCTGGTACCTTCTTCCCTCCATTGCTTCCCCTAGCTCCTGCTTTAAACTTCCAATTCAGTCCTGGGCAGAGCGGCTGGTATGCATGTTCCTTTTGCCTACCTGCTCTTCCCTCCACTGCTCACTTAGCTAATTACTACTCATTGGTCATTTCTTAGCATAAATGTCACATGCTCAGAGAGGCCTTCCATGACCCATATGATGATCCATCTTATCTCCACTCCCTGCCTACTAACAAGCCTCATTGCCCCTGGAGCTTCTTCACAGCACTTTCCAGAGCTGTGTTTATGCATCTCTTCTCGTGATCACTTGTGGAAGGTGAGCTCTGGAAGAGCAGGCCCTGGGCATGTTCTGTCCATGACCACATCCCCGGTGTCTGGCACAGTGCCTCGCTCTTTGGTGCCCATACATGTTGGAGACTATTATATTCTCCTCTCAGGGAGAGTTCTGTACGCTGTTGGAAGGAAAATGTGGGTAAGGCTTTGGGGGTAGGAGGTCAGGGGGCAAGCCTGTTAACTTTCAGTGCCTCACTGAGTAGCAGGCTTCTCTGTTTTGCTATATGGGTTCTTCAGGTTTGTCCAGGGTCCAAATGCTCAGGACCATCGAGAAGCTAAGTGCCGTTACCTGGAGCCTCCTTCTCTGCCCTTCCCCCAAACAGCACTCAGCCCCTGCTCTAAATAGCTGTTGACCAAATACTCAAATGTCAATTTGATGAAGTATCCAAGTACCTCACTGTGACCCTCAAGTCTCAATTGAAATACCACCTCCTGTCAAAAGCTTTCCCAGACCCCCACTCCCCTTCACTTAAGAACACCGGGTTCACGTAAGCCCTTCTGGCACTAATCACACTGAACCTTCTTTTCCTGTTTAAGTGTGCATCTCCCCTTACAGGACAGTGAGGACCATGAGGGTGAGGACTTCCGTCTTCTTTTCTCTGCCTTTTCACCACCATTTAGCATAATTTCTTGCACATAGTAGGTACTCATTAAATAGGTTTTGACTTGATGAATAAAGCACTCACCATATGCCAGGCACTAGATGACTCCTCAGGACAGGGTATGTGTAGTGAAGTTTGCTAGCTGCCCCTCAGCCTCTGGATTTAAACCCATCAGTAAGACCCACCCTCCAGGACACAGAGCTTCATCAAGGAAGGGCTTACAACCCTAGGTGAGCCAATCAGGTCCAAAAGACTTAATTCCAGGACTATTGTTTGAGGAATGGAGTAGCTGACTTTCCCTGTCCTGCGGGATACACGCTTCTGAGGCTGAATCCCTAGCACAGCTGAGCACCTGGGCCCACAGAAGACCTGCTTGACATGAAGTCAGCAAGTGGAAGGCAGAACAAAGGAATCTGAGTTTTTAGCAATATGTGAGCTGCTGAATCAAAACCTTCCTGAAGCGAATATTCCCATCTCCATTCTTCTCTGGCACGTGTGCCAACCATTTCCTTTAAATCTGTTTGAGTTAGGTTTCTGCCCTTGTAACATGCAGCATCCAGAAGGGTCAAAGGCCACCCAAGCTCCAACATCTTAGCACCTGCTGAGGAGCTGAGGGAATCCTCAGTTTGGGATGCTCTTGGGACCTTGTCTTGCAGCCCTCAACTCCTCACTCACCATAGCTATCAGATGGGGGCACTCCTGTTCCTGTCACCAAGGGCAGCAGGTGTGGAACTTGGTCTCAATGACTAGCTGCTCCAGCTGTTCTCAATCCTCACTGAGGAGACAACTAGGAGCCACCCAAAGACAAAACAACTAAAATTGTACCTAACACGTGACCTTTTTGGGCTCCTGAATCATTTGTCTGGGGGCTGACTCAGAAATAAATATTTCCATCTTCCTGGTGTGAGCATAGTGGAGGTGTAGGATTGAAGAACAGAGTGTCGGAGCTGGAAGGATTCTTAGAGATGAGTTGGTCAGACCCCTGATTATGTAGATGGGGAAACTGAGGCCCAGAGCAGGGAGACTTGCTCATGGTCACACAGCATGTGTGATGTGTGATGTTTCTCACCCAGTACTCCCCTTAACGGAGTTTCTCCACCAGCCTTCTCCTGTAGAGATAGGGCTGGGTCTCCCTCAGCTTGGGAGGGGGCAGGGAACATTGACGGGGAGTCTCCTTGCTATGGCAAGGCAGGAGCTGCTCCCCCAGCCACTGGCAGGCCTGGTCCTTAACAACTTAGTAGCACTTTAACACCTGCGGCTGGTCCAGGGGGAGATGGCTTCAGAGGATACTATGTCTCTGATAAAGCATTGGTGATGCCTCCAAGAATTTCTACAGGAGAGAAATTCAGGGCCAGAAATCTGGTGGGAAGGAGACTAAGACTGGTCTTAAGCTGCATTTGCACAACAAGTCACCCATTACTTGATCAGGTTTCTTGATTTCCACACTCCTGATATTTTGAGCAGGATAATTCTTTGTTGTGGGGACTGACCTGTGCACTGTAGGATGGTTAATAGCATCCCTGGTCTGTACCTACGATGCTGGTAGCCCTACCCTCCCAGCTGTGATAACCAAAAATGTCCCCGACATCACCAAAATGTCCCCTGAAAGGTAAATCACCCAATTTGAGGACCACTGACTTAGCTGTATATATAACTGGCTGAAAAGGCATGATGGTGATTCTTCTAAAAGAAAAGGAGATAAAAGTATAAAGAGCCACATCTTCCTACAAGAAAAGATAATCATCAGAGGGACAGTGAACTCCAGGCAGAACTGTGAGCTTTCACCTTACCTTCCCACCTTCCCTCTCTGAACTGTTTTCTTCTCTTTCATGGCCCCCATTCCTACTTAGAAAAAAATTAATAAACTATCCAGGAAAAATTTAGTATTTGCATTCGTGCTAAAGTGAAAGAGTATGCAATGTTCACGAGAGGTTAAAAACACAAGCATTATACACTTAAGATGTGTAAAGTCTATCTCACAAAAATTGATTTAAAAACACATAGACATTGTATTCAGACCTGGGTTCAAGTCCCAATTGAGGTATTTTCTACCTGTGTGACTTGGACAAGTCCTCTCACCTCAGAGAAGCTCTGTTTCCTCAGTTGTAAAAGGGGAGTAGTAATAACATGTAGTTCACAGGATAACTATGCAGAGTAAATGAGATAATGTACAAACTGTACTTTGCACAGTGCCAGGCACAGTAGGCAATATGGATATTACCTATCATTTATTTACCTTTATATTATCTATTTATATTTATCTGTAGTTTATAGGTGAAATTGCTCCCTGATGACCTGCTTCCTGTGGACCCATTCTAACTAAAGGCATCTCTACCTGCCTCTTCCCATGCGACCCTTTGTTCAGGTAGGAAAAATTAGGTCCAGAAACAGCCATTCATGCAGCTTGGGAGTTTGGCTCCACCAGTGACTTATCAGGAACTTAAGTTACTGAGTTCCTCTAAGTCTGTATCCTCAGCTGTAAAATGTTATACTAATACTATTCACTTTGTAGGATTCTTGTGAGATTTATAAATAACGTTACTTTACATACACCTAGGAATGCAGACCCACCTTGAGGGCACAGCCGTGGCACCAACAGAAACGACCACGAGGGGGCAGAATTGCCACACTCAAGTTCCCACCTAGCCAAGACACTTACTTCATTTTTTGAGAATGGTTGTTAAACTTTTTATTATGGAAAATTTCAAACATACACAAAGGTAGAATAGTACAATGCACCTCATGTACTCAGCACCAGGTATCAACACCTATCAACATTTGGCAGTCTCCCTCCCTCTTTGTTGTGGCTGCTTGGGGAGTAGTATTTTAAAGCACATCCTACACCTCATTTAATTTTATCCGTAATACAATAGTGTTCAGTTCTAATCGAAAAAGGCTTTTATTTCCATAGGCACTATTGTCATCATCACACCAAACAAGAAAGAACAATAATTTCTTAATTTAACCTTATGAGTTCATATTCAAATCTCCTTGATTTATACCAAAGATGTCTTTTAACAGTTGGCTCACTTGAATCAGGATCCAAATAAGGTTTTTGCATCTGGCACGCATCTTGAGTTTTATGCTTTAGCATCTACCTTCCTGTTGCATTTTCATACCATAAATTTGTTGCAGAAATCAGGTCATTTGTCCTGTATAATGTGGCTGATTGTGATGTTTGTCTATCCTTAATGTTTCTGGTAAACAGATAATTAGATCTTGAATTGGGTAGTAACTCAGGCAAGAATATCTCATAATTTCTTAAAAACACCTCTTAGTGATTTTAAGAATGGTCAGTGGGTTCAATAGCTCAGCCTAAGCTCTTTATCACAATGTTCTACAACAATTTTTCATCCAATTGTTTAGCACCATTTCATGATCATTGCCTAGACTCATTCTTTCATTAGGGTTTGCAAAATTGTACTTTTCTAATCCTATAATTTCTTCTGCATTTATTAGTTGGAACTCATCTATAAAAATATAACTTTTTCTTATCTACTATTTAATTGCCTGCAATATAACTCAAGGAAAGCCCAGAAATGTTTATTTCCTTTTACTTATCAATCCTCAGAGCAAATTAGTTGATTCCCTGTAAAACTCCATTGGTAACAAATGTGTTATGTTCCTTAAGTATCATTAGTTATTGGATTTGTATGTATTTTACAATATATACAAATCTACTGAAGCCATTATTTTTCTTTTAATGCTCAAAGTGTTCCATCTTGGCCAGTGGGGCCTCTTTGTGTTGGTTCCTTAGTCATTTTACATGACCACAATAGTCTTTGATAGCTTCCTGACTTCCAGGGGTATAATATGATCCATCCCATCTTACCTGTTCCAGATCTGAAATCAACCTTCTATCTACAAAGGAGCCTTGATTTCTTTAATTTTTCATTTTTTAAAACTGGAAAATAGTATTTAGAAACCAAGTCTGTGCACCAGGGGTGTTCATTACTACTGGGTTGATCATTGCTTCTAAGGCCTTTTCAGCAAAGCTAGAAAATACATTTACGTAATTACTTTTTTGCTTTATTCTTAAATATATCTATTAAGTCCAAAAGCACAATATCAATATTACTAACAATAAAATTAATGAATGCAATTTAATATTTCTATGCAGTTCTAGTTGTCTTAGACTATGTCCCATTAAGGAGGTACAGTCAAAATATTTATAAAGCCACTTGCAATGATCTTCTGTGTAGTTATGCCATCAATCTGATATACAGATGGCTCATTGTTTTCCATTTGTTTTAAGTTTTGATGGAGCGCTTTATTCTTTTTATTTAACTTTGTTTTATAAATATGCAAAACATTCACAAGTTCCAAAATAATAACTGTATAATAAGGTAAGTTCAAAGAAGTCTCATTGCCATTCCTACCACTCTATCCCAAATATGAAACCACTTATAGAAGATTGGAGCTTATTCTTCCATTTTTTACTTTTAATTATAAAAAGTAATGTATATTTGTATCTCCCGTAATACTTACATAGAAGATAGCATACTATAAACACTATTGTGCACCTTGCTTATTTCACTTAATCATATATATGGCCATCATTTCATATGAGTATGTTCATTAGTATATATAAGAAATCTTCCATATTATCTTTTTATAGCTGCACAGCATTCTACCCTATGTACATAGTATTATTAATTCTTCTAGTTCTTTGACATATACACAGCTTCCAGTACTTTCTATAAAAATAATACCATAATGAATAGCTTTATGAATACAGTTATTTCGTATTTTTGCCAATATATCACTAGGATAGATACCTAGAAGTTTAGGATTTGACCTTTACTTGGTGAAAGAGCATATGTAATGAGGTTATAGATTGCCTGATTTTCTTAATTAGACTTCCATCATTTTGCCTTCCAGCAATGCATGACAGTACTATCCTCAGGTGTATCTTGATACCTCATCAGACAGAGGCTGCAGATGAATCACAGACAAGGGGCCTGTCCCCAGGAACTCCCAGTCTATAGAAGGCCTATGGGCAAACAAATAATGATGTAAGGTAATATGCAGGGGGAGGTTGACTCTGAAGCTAATGAAGCTTAAGATTCAGTGTCCCTCACAGAGCTCCTTCCAAAACCCCAACCATTTTGTAATATTTTTGCTAAAGAGGACACCCCAAATTATTTAAGCTTCAGGTTCCACAAGGTCTGAATCCACCTCACAAACTGTAGTCAGCCTATCCTTGGAGGTTATGGGGTGGATTTTAAGTCTCAGTTCTTCAGCCAGTTTGAGAGGACGAATACCTATATTTAATGACTGAGACAAACAAAGGGAAAAGACTTCTCTAACCAAAAGATATCCCTTTTGCTAACTCTGATCAATTACCCACACAGGTCTGCACAAAGCCTTTGGTATTTTCCCCCTACCTTTAAGGGCAGAAACCAAGCTTTGACTGGCGTATTTCCAGCAGACAGATGAAGACTGGAACAAGGCACTATGGACAAAAATCTGAAGTTACAGAGCAGGTTTTTTGTTTTTGTTTGGGGATGGAGGTTTTACACCAAGGGAGTGGGAATCCAAGGCAGGCACCCCCCCCCAAAAAGAAAGCCAGACATTTTTTCGGTCAAATAAGGAAGAGGTCTGTTTCCTCACCTGTAAAAACAGGGTTGATAATAAAGCCTGTCCCTTGTGGATTAGGATTAAGAGCAATAATTTAAAGACCTAACCCAGTGCTGGTCTCTCTGGAGAAGGTCCATAAATGGAGGGCAGAAAATAAAATGGGTCATTGGTTGATCATTGACGGCAGTGACAGGGATTCTTTGAAATGGTGTCTCATACAGCACTGGGAGGAGGAACAACCACTTTACTGACAAATAATAGATGCAGAATAAATAGGTGAAGAAGGAATGATCGGTTCTGGCTGGTGCTTCCTGATCTGTGTAACTGAAGGACCGATCGGTGCGGGTCTCTGAGTAACTGGCAGTCCGGGGCTGGCTGTCAGGAAATGCGTGCCGGGATCCGACAAACCACTGACGGGTGGCCCAAAGACCGGCTGACAGTCGGGCCGCGAGGGAACAGCTGTCTTCGCTGTCAATCCCGGCCCCGGCTCGCCCCGACCGCCGCCCCTCTGATGGGCGCCGACTGGATCCCGACTCCCCACGAGGAGCCAGTGAGCGCGGCCGCCCGGCCGGCTGTGCGCGGGCGGTAGCGGCTGGGTGCCGGCGCCTCCGCCCCTTCCTCCCAGCGCCCGGCGGGCGCCGCCGACTCCCGGCGGCCGCTGCCCGGGAACAATGAGGTGCCGGCTTCTTTAAGGGAGATACCACCGCGCCGGCGGGGCAGGGGACGGCGTCTTCCCAGATGATCGCACCCAGTCCCGCGCCGCCGCCGCCTCAGCAACTGCACCGCCCGCAAACATGGCTCAGTGACTCTGACAAAAGGTGCAGCCTCCCTCCCGGCAGGGTGGACGCCGGGCCTCCCAACCCCGGCCGCACCTCCCCGCGGAGCGCCGAGAGAGCACCGCATCCCGCAAGCACCCTAAGCCCGAGCCGAAGAAGATGCACCAGGCGTTCCACCCCAGCGGCCCCAGCACACCTGCCCGCGGCTCTGTAGGTCGGAGGGGGGCGGGGAGGTGGAAGGGAGACCGCCGGGCGCGCGCTCCCCCAGGCCCGGACTTGCTGCTGCAGACCATCCCGGGAACCGCAGGCCGCGCGCGCCTCCTGCGGCTGGAGGCCAACCGAGCCCCGGGCGTGGAGTGGCCTCCCGACTCCGCGGTCCGGCTACCCCCTGCGGGGAGGGGCTAGAGCGATGCGTTCGGGAGCGCGCACACCTTCTGCAACTCCTGGCTCCTGAAAGCCGCGGGCAAGGGAGGAGGCCGGCGGAGCGCCGGGAGCGCGCCCAATAGGGAAGGCGCACGGCGTCCAGGCTTGCGCTACGGAAAGCCGGAGAGGGGCGGGACCGCGAGGCGTCAGGGGGTGTGTCAGCGCGCACCACGGGGGCGCGCGCCAGCTTCTGACTGGCGGCCGCCGCGGCCGAGGCCCGAGCTGCGTGATAATGGCGGCCTGCAGAGCCCGTGAGAGGGAGAAGCGGCGGCGGTGGCTACCCTGAGGTAAAATCTGGTGCTAAGGCTTGGCAGAGTCCCTGCTGCAGAGCCGAGGAGCCCTGCGTGTGCCTCACTTCCCAGGAGGCCTGTCAAAGACCTGTCAGCGGAGTCATCCTAAGGAAGGCCCCGCGCTCCCCAGGCCTCGGGCCCCAGCCGCGGCCTCCTCATATGCCCGCGGCCTCCTCCCCAGGCCCCGGGCCTCGGCCGCCAGCCCGTAGTTGTTGGGGCAGCTGCAGGACTGACTCCCCGGGGTGAAGGGCCTCGGGGGGATCCGCTCCGGGTTTCATAGGGACGCGGCCGGGGAGGGGGAGGGCCGGATACTTGGCCAATGAGCGGGCCCTGAGCTGCCGCGTCGGGCAACACCTCTGCCCGGGACGGGCCCTTCGCGGGCATCAGCAGGTGTACGGCCTGCCCGCCCGCGTCGAAACACTGAATTAGCACGGCAGGCTTGAGGGCCCGGGAAATGCCGTCGTAAGTCACTTAGCACACAGGACGCGTCACAGTGCCGTGTTTTGACCCAGGGTCTCAAGGATTTCATAAAGCACACACCCTCCCCCTTATCAGGTGCTCTTTCGTATGGGGATGTGGGACGGCTTGAAAGACACAGGTCACTTTGAGATGGGTAGTGATTGGCGGTCCGCAGAGAGCAGGCAAGAATGTCTACTGTGTAGTTGTGGCGGAGGATCTGCGGCAGGAAATCAGACACTGGGAAACACAGTAGGACTTGGAAGGGTGGGTGTCCAATTAGAGGAAGTGGGACTAAGAAGCAATCTCAGAAGGTTTCATTTTCTTTTAAATCTAGCCTATGGACCTGACGTAGCTGTTCTCAATTTTTCAGGCTCTAGCGTCAGTGGCTTTTGTTGTCCCCGCAAACCGTACAATATAAAAATTGTACAATCTTAGTTTACTTTTCTTGCCCATGGTGACAATCTACAAATGAGAATTTGTTCCTGAAGCTCGATAAAATATCGACATTCATTGGAGATTGAAGAGGCACACTTTAGATTTTCTTGATTCGACACATGAGCACTTCTGTGTAGGGCCTTTGCTCCTGCCTATAGGTAATTTATCAAGTTGAGTTCCCAGGTCTGTCAGAGACCCCTGTCACATGGAGGACAGTTTTTGTTGGCAAAAATGACAGATCTGAAGCTGTTGTTCAACAACCACAGAAAGGTAGCCGTATTCTAAGTAGCTTACTTTATTTTTATTTATTTTTTTTAGCTTACTTTATTTTTAAAGGAACATTTTTCCCTACAAACTTTATTTTCATTTATTTAGCAAGAAATACGGACAAAACATTAAATTAAAATTAGTAAACTAAAATAGAAAATTAAAATGGGAGCATACACACTTTGTTTACTTTTAAATAATAAATATGACTACACATTTTCAGTTTATACATGACCTGGTTCACTTTCAGTCCCAAAGTATAAACCAGGTGTTTGTATTTCTAACTGTGAGGGTCTTCTGTATTTGCTGTTTTTATGACCTGATTTTTATTTGTGTGTCAATTTTAAGGAGAAGCTGGAGTTTTGTTTGTTTTTTCATGATCTAAATAAGAATGCTGAATTTTGGGGTTTACTTTTAACAGTGATGTTTTGAAGTGGTTCGTGTAAGAGGCAGTATAGTGTAGTGATTAAAATTAGGGATGTTGTCCGGTAAGTAAAGAAAAAAAAAAAATTAGGGATGTCAGAGCCAGATGTCCTGGTTTCAAATCCAGGTCCACCAGTTACCAGCTCTTTGACCTTGGGCATGTTGCCTAAACTCTCCATGCTTTAGTTTCCTCATCTGTAAAATGACCATAATAGTACCTAACTAATAACACTGTTGTGAGGATTAAGGGAATTTAATATTGTAAAGTGCTTAGAGCAGTCCCTGATACATGGTAAGTAACTGTTAGCTACTTTACTATTATTATTTAAATATTTGGATTTGCCCAAGGTATAGCAAATATCTTTCAAGCACTGCAAACAGACAGATAGTAACTGTATCATACAAAGAAGAAATACAAACCAGTAAGCATAGTTAATTTCAGCAGAGCACTTTGTTGATTTTTCCAGAAACTTTGACCTTGAAGATGGTGAGTAGCCAGCCGAAGTACGATCTAATACGGGAGGTAGGCCGAGGTAGTTACGGTGTTGTGTATGAAGCAGTCATCAGAAAGACTTCTGCACGGGTGGCAGTGAAGAAAATTCGATGCCATGCACCTGAAAATGTCGAACTAGCCCTGCGTGAGTTCTGGGCACTAAGCAGTATCAAGAGCCAACATCCAAATGTGATTCACTTGGAGGAATGCATCCTACAAAAAGATGGGATGGTGCAAAAGATGTCCCACGGCTCTAATTCTTCCCTTTATCTGCAGGTATGTGTGGTTGAATGGGAAATAGAAATGATTTGAACATAGCATTCATTGGTCAGCAAGAAGAGAAATGAAAGAGTCAGATGAACTTCTACTTTTAAATATGGGTGTTTGTATAGGAGTAGATGGGGTCTACCAAGAATTGAGTAGATGTTTGCTGTAAAACAAGGTTTTATTTAAACCTGTTATGCAAATACCTAAATATAACATAAGCCACCTGTTAAGCTGTGAAATGTGCCAGTCTGCATAGGAATAGGGCAACATGGGAGCTAGAGAAGTGAATGAGACTAGAGTCTATTAGTTCACTTATTTGAAATCAATTTTTTTTGGAACTGAATACAAGAAAAGGAAAAACTCCACAACCAATAGCAGTACCCATAGGTAATTAGGCATCTCTAACAAATCACTGGTTTGAATATAAGCTTCTGCTGTTTGGGAGTGTTATGTGGTTTCTTAACCAAGCAATTCCAGTTAGTTCTCATGAAGTAAGTGGCTTAGCACTTGAATGTTATTAACAGTGCTAATAGCTAATGTTTGGGCTCCTACTCAGTTCCATGCTCTGTGCTAAGAGTTGTAAAGGCACTTGCTCAGAACAATCCTATGAGGAAAGTATTATTATCATTAAAAATGAAGAAACTGAGGCTTAGAATAGATAATGTATTTATCCAAAGTCACATGCTAGCAAGTAGCAGAATTGGGAGCTGAACACTAGATTATCTGACAGCTAGAACTTGTGCTCTCTTAACCTCCAAATTACTCTTTTGTAGACCTAAGGAGAACATTGACCAAGGAAAACAAAAGCTTTTTTTTTTTTCAGTCGACTTCTGCCTAGAAATCAAAATCTTTAGTAGCTCTATACTTGCTGAAGAAAAAACATACTTAAGAAATAGGTGGTTAAAGGCCATAGCAAAATTTCTTAAGTCCAATCATTCTTGGAAAAGGAAACAACTTGGGTCTAAATTCAGAATTTACCATCAGGGTACAAAAGTCTGTTTTTAAAACAACAAAAATTTTCAGATAGGAACAACAAAGAAAACATTAATCTGTATAATCAGAAACTTGGAATTCCGTTTTATTGTGTGGTGAACTAACACCAATATATGTTTATATTGTAGTTCAGCATGCTATGCCCTGAAGTTTTCTTTTTTTAAACAGTGACTATAAAACACAACTGTCTAGCCTTTACTAGATTTATTGTTACTTTTCTAAAAATGCTTATTATGTAAGTTACACTAATAGAAAATAGTAGAAACTGTTCTTACTACATTTCCTCTTAAAAGTGGGTAGAACCTTGTTGAACTTTGCATTGAATTTTAGAGACTAAGATGCATAATCTCTTAAGTACTACAAATACAGAAATTTGAAATATGATTTAGTGCTGGTGGTGTCCTTGAGTCCTGTTCGAGCAACCTTTATAGTAACTAAGCATTAGCTGGTCTTAACCGAGGCTTTAAGATGTAAAGTATTTCCAGACTTGATTCGGTATGTGAATCACCTTTTTTGTTTAGTAATCTCTTTTATCTTTTAAAGCCTGATAGACCTGCATTTGACTTGTGTCACTTTTGCTAGCTGTATGTGTGACGAGTTAAATAATCCAACTTTTTTCAGAATCTGTGTCTTTTCTATGTAAATTCCTATGTAAAATAGAAATAATTTTTTGCCTTCCATGTGACTTGTCAAAATTAGAGATGATGCAGATACAATACTTGGCACATAGGAAGTACTCAGTTATGTGTAGCTCTATTAAAATTGTCTTTTCTGTGGATTTATTTAGTTAAGCAGACATTCACGACCACATTTAGCAAGTACCTTCCCTAAATTTACATCTAGTAAAGACAACTAAATAAATCTTTAGTGTGACTTCAGAGCCCTTTTGCATGGTCTTCTCCATTCTCTACACAAATTTTTTTCCTCCATGTTTTTTTAGATACCTTCCTTGTTCTCAGAATGATTAAGTCAGCTCCTGATAACTAAACAACTCACCTAGAAGAAAATGTAAAACAATTAACAAAGGACACAATCTCATGCATGGCAATTTAGTGGCCAGTCTGTATACTTGGGATAAGTGTCATGAGTGAAAAGCATATAATAGGGAACCCGACATAATCCTGAGGTTCAGGAATTAGGGGCTGTTTCAATTGAAACTTGTAAAGAGGAGTTAACCCGTGAGTGAGAAAACTTCCCAGGCAGAAAGAACTGTACACAAATGTCTTGAAGCCAAAAGCATGAGGTGTTCTAAGAATTAAAAGAAGACAGTAAGATTATAGTGTGTGGGGATAATTGTTTTAGGTGATGCTAGAAAGATCAGTGGGGGTCAGGGCACACAGGATCCCATACCCATGTTATAACTTAGACTGTATCCTAAGATAATGGGGAAGCTATTGAAGCACTTCAGGCAGGAGAACCAATGGCTCACACGTGACAGTAAGCACATTGGGCTCTGTAGTTGTGTAGCTCTCAACCAGGGGCCCTCATACTATATCCCTCAGCTTGTTTTTCTGTGGCCTGGATGCCAAAAAAAATCTTTATATTTTTAAAGAATTGTTTTTTAAAAAAAGAGAAAGAAAAGGAAGAAGAATATGGAACTGAGACCTTATGTGGCTTGTCAAGCCTAAAATATTTACTATCTGGCCTTACTCTAAACCATTCTTTGGATGCTGGGAGACTCCATGTTGCTCAAAGCTACTTAGGAAGTTTGCTTTTGAGAGTAAAGACAGAAGAAGAGAGGAAATGAAGTAAGAGTGATGGTGCTTGTCTTTAATCTCAGCATATTTGGCAACAGTGCACCTGCTAAATAATAGTGGGATCTGTACCTTTCTATCTTTCATTTTCTGTCTCACTAGAAAACACATGCAATAAGAAAGATGCATGCAAAAGAGACATCTGCAGACCATTGCAATTACTGCTGTTTGCCATGGGGTGAGATGACATGGAGAGGTGTTCTTTGCTTACCAAAATGACAAGAAGTACCAGTAGATTTAAGTGTAAAATTAGCAGTCCACTATTTCACAACTCTTCAGCTTTCCTACTGAATTTTAGTTCAATCCATGTGTCTAAAAAGGATTCCATAGGACAAATGCTTTCAAAGCACTTATATGTCTATATTTTAGAATGGTAGTTCATGTTCAATGAAGTAATTAATATTCTTGAATTTCAGGTAATAGAAGAGTTGCAATTAGATAATGGTAACAAAAAAGTGATTCTAGGTTTTCATCTTATATCAAAGAAATAAACTCAGATTTGAATTTTTATATCAAATTCAAATAAGACTTTTATACCTTGGTTTTTAGAAGTCATCCAGTGATAGAGATTGCCTACATATTTGCATTCTGCCTGTATAAGTTTATGAAGTAATGATATCAGCCTTTATCAGTGACCACAGGAGAACTTCATTTCTGTAACAACTAGTTGTTCCTTGACCATTTTTCTCTCAATTTCATAGATTATGTTGATAGTATATATGCAATGAGTAGAAAGTTTCATTTTGAATAGAATTTACTAATTGATGTTTATATCCCAGCTGGCAATCTCCCAGGTCTAGCTGCTTAAACCGATCTTTCATGAAGCTGTTAGCTAGGTGGGTAGAGTTTAACTTCATTGACATATGCAGAAAATGTGTAGCCAGTTGGACACTTTGCAAAACAAAGCTGCTTTGAAACAAGTTTTTACGTCTTGCTTTGGAGATTTAGTGTGTATTCATTAGCGACAAAGTGACAGTTTGAAGTACTAAGTACTGAAGTTTAAAACAAAATGCATATATGAAAGCACTGAACAATAAAATATTCATAGAATTTCCATTTAAAATTGGAGACTAACTTAACCAGTTACCACTAACTTATCCAGTTACTCTTTTTAATAGCTAAATTATATAAATTATGCCAGTGATTGTAATCTGGTTTTTTTCGCCTTCTTACAGCTTGTAGAGACTTCATTAAAAGGAGAAATTGCCTTTGATCCCAGAAGCGCCTATTACTTGTGGTTTGTGATGGATTTTTGTGATGGAGGAGATATGAATGAATATCTGTTGTCCAGGAAACCTAATCGTAAAACTAACACCAGCTTCATGCTCCAGCTGAGCAGTGCCCTGGCTTTCTTGCATAAAAACCAGATCATCCACCGAGATCTTAAGCCTGATAACATCCTGATTTCTCAAAGTAGGATGGATACCAGTGACTTGGAACCCACACTCAAAGTGGCAGATTTTGGTCTCAGTAAAGTTTGTTCAGCCTCTGGGCAGAACCCAGAAGAACCTGTCAGTGTAAACAAGTGTTTCCTTTCCACAGCATGTGGAACAGATTTCTACATGGCTCCTGAAGTGTGGGAGGGACATTATACAGCAAAAGCTGACATCTTTGCTCTGGGGATTATCATCTGGGCAATGCTGGAAAGAATCACATTCATAGACACAGAGACAAAGAAGGAACTCTTGGGGAGTTATGTCAAACAAGGAACTGAGATTGTGCCTGTTGGGGAGGCGCTTCTGGAAAATCCCAAAATGGAACTTCTCATTCCTGTGAAGAAAAAGTCTATGAATGGGCGAATGAAACAACTGATTAAGGAAATGCTGGCTGCAAACCCTCAGGATCGTCCAGATGCTTTTGAACTAGAACTCAGATTAGTACAAATTGCATTTAAAGATAGCAGCTGGGAAACGTGACACATATATTATTTGCAAATATCTTGGATGATATATGCTGCTTCTGTTTTAGCAGTGATGCAACATAATGTGGCTGAAAAAGAATATAAAAAGCTAAACTCCGCCTTCTAAGGGTTTAGATTTTATTGTGGGGTGTTTTTTTTCCTTGTTTTTCTTAAGTCCAGGCGGGCCATTTTGTCAGTATGTTTTAAATGTGTATTACCAATGTGGGTGTAAATTTTTTTAAATGGTCATTGGTAGAAGTTTGGCAGGAACATCCTCAAGAGCCAAGAAGAAAAGAGCATCCAATTTTCTGGAAATATGTCTCCAAGTATTTTAGACATTCCTTGTCAGTATTAGGAATTTCCTTGGAAAAAGAGGTTTGCATGCTGGTAATGCAACCTTGGAGCTTTGTAAAGGAAACATATATGTATATATTTATGTATATGTAAGTATGTGAATGTGTGCATTTTGCATTCCATATGAAGAAAATGCCAGTTCTGTTTAAATTATTTGATGTAGGTTTGGGTTTTTGAGATTTGCTGGTGAAATCAGTGATGAAAAATGTAAGAACCTTCCTTCATCTTCTTACCCTCTCCCTCCTTCTAATGAAACCATCCTACATTTTTTTTATTTTTGTAATATTGTACAACCTTTTTTCAAGCCATCATTTTGGAGGGTCTAAAATTATATGATTAAACAGGAATGAAATGAAATGATCCAAAGCTGCTGAAGTATGTTTGAGCCCCCCAGTGCCTGATAGCTGCCAGGGGTGGAGTTAGACATGCAGTCATGGTTGCAGGTTGGCAAGGACGGTGATGATTCAGTCATACCTTCTTTAGGTAACCAGGTTGGCAAGGACGGTGATGATTCAGTCATACCTTCTTTAGGTAACCAGGCATAAAATTAACCAATTAAACCACTGCATTGGACATGTCTGCACTTGAGCATCTGTAATCTGATATAAAGCTGAACACAGGATTCTTCTGTTTCTGGAAACTTTGCTATATATGAACTATGGTACTTGATATGTTAGTTTTTTATTTGAAGACTTTGTCTAAGCCTTAGCATAAAGTCAAAGAAACCAAATGAGCTCTACCCTCACATTGTCTGCCCTGTAATGGTCTCTTGTTTAATCACTGGATTCCTTTTGTTTTGGCACTAATGCTGTTTTATCTAATTTGACACAGTAATGGTAGTGATATGGTTGTATTAAATGTTGATGACCTTTTTCTAAAGTGGGAGATGATACCTATACAGTGATAAATGGGTAAAGTACTGTGGCATCAACTATATCTTTAAGTAGAAATGTCACTGATTTTATACAATCACTTGGTAGGGTCTATGTCAAAAACTGATAGACCTTTATTCTTTTGAAGTGAGTTTGATTTTAACCCTATCTGGTTGTCTCAAATTTGTTTTTCTATAAATGCAGGTAGTTAAAATCTAAGGAAACCAAGTTTTCCTAAAACAGCCTTTAAGATTCAATAGACTTTAAAACCATTGTATCTAGGTTAATCTTTATAAAGCACTAGAATCTTTGGTTAAAAGCAAAAAAAAGTATTTAAATCATTAATAGTTTACATAGTCTTTCGAACTCTGAACTTCCACAGCTTTTGGAATATTGCTATCATAATTTTTTCCTTATTTAAAATGTGTTCAGGGGACTATAGAAGGTGAAAAAGCACAAAAAAATTAGAATATGCAAAATTTCTGAACTGTATTACTTGGTCTGGAAGTTTAAAATTTAAACTCAAAGGTTTTACTGAAGTAAACCTTTTAAAATAAAATTGTGTACTTTTGACATTTTCAAGCTAATAATGTAAAAATTCTTTTGGAAATCAGAGATGGAAATACACTGGAACCTCTTGATAATTGACCCTCTGGATCACCAAATTAGTATAACACAGATCTGGCCACGGGAATTGAATTACTGTAAGTAAAAAGTATCATTTTAATGTCCCATCAATAACATGGCACTTCAGCAGAGATTCATGATGATTCAGGAGATGGTATGCCCATGTGTCATTTGCTCTTCAAATAAATATCTGTGCTTGTAGCCATGGCTTCCTAAGCACACAGTTTTTCATCCTGCCTCACTTAAAATAGTTAATGATTATCACTATTTTTAAAGATTTTAACCTGTGAAGCAGACTTCTTTCACTGGCAGTAAGAGTGTGAAGTGATCAGGAAATTCCTTTTGGAATTTTATCAAGTCCTTGTATTCTAAAATAACCTTATGATACCAAGCAAAATAAATAGTAAATTATTTGTGTTTATTTGTTCTTTCAGTCAGGAGGTATTAAGTACCTACTATGTGCTCAGCACTAAAAGTCAGTTGATAAATGACAGTTTAACAGTGGCTTAAAGCCACAGGTCTTTTCCAGCTGGAGTAAGAAATAAAAGATGATTAGTGATACTTGGAAATTCCTGGGTATTTGCTAGAGGAAAAATGAAAGCAAAAATTTGTGCACAGTGCCTTGCCCATAATAGGTACTCAATAAACAATTATTATTCGTAGAGTCTCTTGCCATAATTTATAGTGTTTTACAAAATTTGTCTTAATTTTAAAAAGACCAAATATTTCAAATAAGCTTATAGGCAGCTGTGGCCAGTTAAAATATGGGGTTGTACAGTTAGTTCCTAGAATGTTATTTTGCACTAGTTGTCACTTAGAAAGATGGGGTTGCTGTAGATTTTTGGTGCTAAGGGATACTTTGTCATTATGATAAAGTAAGTGTTAAGTGTTGATAAATAGCACACTGAATAGTTATTTATGCTGGTCTGTTTTTTCCTCTATTGTTGTTTTAATTGTAAAATGTTTATCAATCAAACTATTGTAGCAGCTACAAAATAATTCACCAGCATGACAAAATGGTCAAAAAATAAGTCATCAGCACTTCAAAAATGAAAGCAACTTTTGAAATTTTCTTTTAAAATTATTAAATATATTTTATGAAGAATTTATAGAAGGGGGAAATTATTGTAATTTATTGTTCATGACTGCTTTTTTTTTAATAAAGTGAGTTTCAACAACAAAAAAATTCTACATTGTTGCTTTGGTGGGTCTGAGTAGTTCTGTCATGCTTTGCTTCATGAACATAAAATAGAGGGTATAAAATTCAAAACTGTCATTTTCAGCCTTATCAAATGAAATTTTCTGTAATAGAAGCTTTTACTGAGGAAAAGATGATTGAATCATATGAGTTTTAGCATTTCAAGTTCTCTAAAAATTTAATGCTTACTATCTTGCCATATTTATCAGGAAAATTTGTATTGCCCAAAATAAGTGACTTTTTTTTAATTCATCCTTCTATCTTGTTATGCAAGTATTTAAATCATTAATAGTTTACATAGTCTTTCGAACTCTGAACTTCCACAGCTTTTGGAATATTGCTATCATAATTTTTTCCTTATTTAAAATGTGTTCAGGGGACTATAGAAGGTGAAAAAGCACAAAAAAATTAGAATATGCAAAATTTCTGAACTGTATTACTTGGTCTGGAAGTTTAAAATTTAAACTCAAAGGTTTTACTGAAGTAAACCTTTTAAAATAAAATTGTGTACTTTTGACATTTTCAAGCTAATAATGTAAAAATTCTTTTGGAAATCAGAGATGGAAATACACTGGAACCTCTTGATAATTGACCCTCTGGATCACCAAATTAGTATAACACAGATCTGGCCACGGGAATTGAATTACTGTAAGTAAAAAGTATCATTTTAATGTCCCATCAATAACATGGCACTTCAGCAGAGATTCATGATGATTCAGGAGATGGTATGCCCATGTGTCATTTGCTCTTCAAATAAATATCTGTGCTTGTAGCCATGGCTTCCTAAGCACACAGTTTTTCATCCTGCCTCACTTAAAATAGTTAATGATTATCACTATTTTTAAAGATTTTAACCTGTGAAGCAGACTTCTTTCACTGGCAGTAAGAGTGTGAAGTGATCAGGAAATTCCTTTTGGAATTTTATCAAGTCCTTGTATTCTAAAATAACCTTATGATACCAAGCAAAATAAATAGTAAATTATTTGTGTTTATTTGTTCTTTCAGTCAGGAGGTATTAAGTACCTACTATGTGCTCAGCACTAAAAGTCAGTTGATAAATGACAGTTTAACAGTGGCTTAAAGCCACAGGTCTTTTCCAGCTGGAGTAAGAAATAAAAGATGATTAGTGATACTTGGAAATTCCTGGGTATTTGCTAGAGGAAAAATGAAAGCAAAAATTTGTGCACAGTGCCTTGCCCATAATAGGTACTCAATAAACAATTATTATTCGTAGAGTCTCTTGCCATAATTTATAGTGTTTTACAAAATTTGTCTTAATTTTAAAAAGACCAAATATTTCAAATAAGCTTATAGGCAGCTGTGGCCAGTTAAAATATGGGGTTGTACAGTTAGTTCCTAGAATGTTATTTTGCACTAGTTGTCACTTAGAAAGATGGGGTTGCTGTAGATTTTTGGTGCTAAGGGATACTTTGTCATTATGATAAAGTAAGTGTTAAGTGTTGATAAATAGCACACTGAATAGTTATTTATGCTGGTCTGTTTTTTCCTCTATTGTTGTTTTAATTGTAAAATGTTTATCAATCAAACTATTGTAGCAGCTACAAAATAATTCACCAGCATGACAAAATGGTCAAAAAATAAGTCATCAGCACTTCAAAAATGAAAGCAACTTTTGAAATTTTCTTTTAAAATTATTAAATATATTTTATGAAGAATTTATAGAAGGGGGAAATTATTGTAATTTATTGTTCATGACTGCTTTTTTTTTAATAAAGTGAGTTTCAACAACAAAAAAATTCTACATTGTTGCTTTGGTGGGTCTGAGTAGTTCTGTCATGCTTTGCTTCATGAACATAAAATAGAGGGTATAAAATTCAAAACTGTCATTTTCAGCCTTATCAAATGAAATTTTCTGTAATAGAAGCTTTTACTGAGGAAAAGATGATTGAATCATATGAGTTTTAGCATTTCAAGTTCTCTAAAAATTTAATGCTTACTATCTTGCCATATTTATCAGGAAAATTTGTATTGCCCAAAATAAGTGACTTTTTTTTAATTCATCCTTCTATCTTGTTATGCTGAGGATGCATCCCAGACTCAAAATGAAGTACAGCAAACATATTAAAGCCATGTGCTTTTTCAATCTATAACTTGACCATGGTTTCCCTTGCATTAAGTCATCTGGGCCCCTTTTTTTTAAATGTTTCATCATGTATGCCTTCCCCAGAATAAACAGTACTAAGAATACTGTGCACTTAGTGGTCCAATGGAACAGCAGTGGGGGAAATGGGAGACAAAACATTAACTCTATATGTGATTGAGCAGCAAATAGGAAAGCAGGCATCAAGAATTGTGGCTGCTTCTGACAGCTCCTGGGGTGGCAACTTCTGCTGCTTCTTTAGAGATTTTTATTACATTGTAAATATTTGTTTTTACCAGCCTTTTGAAATGCTTTGCAGTTTACAAAGTGCCTTCACATGGTTTTTACGTATCTTTTCAGTGGATTTTACTTAAAATAGGGCTGATTTCTTGATGGGGAAATTAGTAGTAACTCCAGTTAGTGAGGGTGAGGGTTTTACCCCACGGGATTTCAGTGCCTAATCTTTGACTCCAGTTGGACTTTTCTCTAGCAACAAAGCTTTATCTTTCTCACTGAAGGGGTGATCCTTGGTTGTTTTGGCCTTTTCTTTAAATTCAAATGTTGCTCTTTTAGTCGACCAATCATAGATGTTCTTTAAAGTGCAGTGTAATGACAGACAGTTGGTTTGTGGTTAGATAATAACTCCTACTTGAGAAAACTTACCAGCCACACCTCCTGAGGGCAAAGTGCGTCTTTTAAAGGCAATACTTTCCCTTTTGCAATGATTTTTCATTGGTTAGAAGAGAAATATTAAAAAGAAAAAAAAAGACGTCTGGGCTTTTGACTTCACTCTTTCATTTCCTGTTCAGCTCTAGTATTTCAAGCTTAGCTTGTTCTGAGCAGAAGTTAGGCAACTTAATATTACCTAAGGCATCCTGGCTTAGTGGGAGGAGCACAGGCTTTAGTGTAGCAGATCTCACTGAATACTAGTTTTTGCAAATACCTACATAATATGGGGCATTGGGTGGACAATTCTGAGCCTCAGTTCCCCTTTCTATAAAATGGAGATGATGACAGTTACATTTCAGCTTTGTTTTAAGGGTTCGAGATAATAAAGTGCTTGGCATACTGCCTGGCACATTTAAGTTCTCAAATGGTAGCCATTGTTACTGTGTTCTGATTTTAACAGTATGTTGAATGAATGGATTCCCAGTGAACCAATCTTCAGTTATAGCTTTAATTATTCTCCTCTTTGAAAGAATCTGATGAAGGCATCCTCTCCTCGGGAAAATGTTTGCCTATAATTTCAGGGAATTTATGGAAGTCCCCCTGGACCCCAAGCTAAAAGACCCTGAGGGCTCCTTTGAGTACTCTGTACTAAAGCTCCTAAGTCCAAAGTGGGCTGTACATGAGGAGACTTCTCAAGTACTTATACTTTTTTATTTCTTGACCTGGGTGCTGGTTAGACAGGTGTGTTTACTTTGTAAAAAT